CAGATGCAGCGTCCCCGCTCTGCCCGCTCGGGTCTGGCAGCAGAGCAAAGAGCCGGAGCCGAGGAATGTGGTAACCTAGCAACAGGCTCGGAGAGACAGATCAGCGATGGGTCAGTGATGAGTGACCGCCGTAAGTCCTGCCTCTGACAGGCACACAGCTGTCCATTAGACAGTAGTAGACTTTAGAACTGCCCATCGCCATCCTTCTGACCACCAACATGGAGCACACAGTATGCTACCACAGCACAATCCCTTTAGGTTTTTTGTCAGAATCAGAATCAGAATCAGAAATACTTTAATAATCCCAGAGGGAAAAAAAATTTGTTACTAGCTCCATAAATAAAACAACAGCATATACATGTCTATATATAAATATATGTATACATACATATATATATATATATATATATACAAAATTCCACACAGTAAATAAAATAAATATATACATAAATAACTATATGTATATATATGTGTATATATATATATATATAGGTCTAAAATAAGTGGTAGTGATGTAATGTGTGTGTTTCATCATTTCTTTACAAATGATAAAGGCAACTGCATATCATAAACAAAACATTTTCAACCACTCATGGTTCTTGTAGACAATAGTACACATTACTCAGCTGTAATGCTAACGTTTCTTGAACACAAATCTGACTAAACTCTGGGATGTCTTAGTCGCTATAGAAAGCAAATAAACACACTAATTGTCCGCCCAAAAGTCGAGTCGTCGAGCCACTGAGACCCCCGTGTACGAGGGAGAACTTGTAGAGCCCTTCTAAAAATGAACGGCTGCTTTGGAGAAGTTATGGAGCCGTGCTCGGGCTGGTGGTGGCCAAAGAACGCTGGTGGCTTCCGTAAAACAAAAACCTGCTGTAAAGAGAGTGACTTTCTGTTTTAAATTGGCTGATCTAAAATAGGTTTCTCGCTGAAGGGTGCTCTGTGGTTGAAACAAAGATCACAAGAAGGCAGAGCGGAGGACGGCAGCCGGAGCCACACATGAGCCCACGACGTCTCTTTGACTTCAACTGGGCCCAGCTACAGAGAATGGGCTGCCGCAGTAAAAACCGGGGAATCGGACCAATCCGAGTCGTCTCAGTGACCCATTTGTAGAGGCGGTGGGTGACCCAGTTCATCGGAAAGCTGCTCATTTTAATAGAGAGGATGGCTGGCTATTTTCAGCATTTTGGGACCGAGCCATGCTATTACACAGCAGAGTGAGTGGAAACTCCACTCCTCCGAGTGTCTGTGAAGCCTCTAACCACATCCTGAGAGCGATGCTGCTGATGTAGGCCGCAGCCTGACGGGAAGGAGCATCAGCCGAGGTTGAGCCGTGCACCTTCTCGCCATATTCAATGCTTCCGTGTACGTTGTTCTTTTTTCATTTGATGCGTTATTTACAGATGTGTAATATTTGTGTTATAACTCAATTTTAAGAAAGGAACTCCCTAAACAAGAGGAACACAGAGGGAAATGCTTTGAATTCCATTAAATCTCAGTCAATACATCTCTATTTCATGGACTAGAGTTGTTCCAAAAAATAATCTGACAGGACGTTTTAAAACAGATGCAGAGTAGGTCTTACCCTTTTAAACAAAACATGCATCCTACATTTTATACGGCAAAAGAGTGTGCTGTAAGAACTTAATTGCTCCTGAAATGCGTTTTGTGCTCTAGAGATCACATCTAGAGATGTGAGATTTGAACCACTAAAAAATGGAACCGTGTGGATTTGAGTTGAGCATAATTTGACACTTGTCACTTTCTTCATTGCGCTTTTGTCCCACCTATCAGAAAAGGGGCCAGTTCCTTTATTCAGATCAAGTTAAAGATGACGCCTTCCCCTAATACTGTCTACCCATCCGTGTTCCATTCCTCATCCGTTTCAGGATTAATGGGAACAGTACACTGTCAGGATTTTAGTTTCTCTAATGATTGATGTTGATCTAAATCTCCAACAGGATTTGGTTATCCTATTTTTATCTATTTTCTCCTCTATTTACATTTCTATGCGTATTTACATTACACATCATTCATTGAAAAAAAAACTAAAGGCTTCATGTTTTTAGGTCTCAGTCAGGAATTTTCCAAAATCTCTCACCTATAAAAGAAGAATGTAAAAAGATTAGTGTATAAAAAGGAGGTCTATCAGGATATCCTCCACCTGTCTCCATCCCAGCCTAGACAGGATGCAGCGCGCTTGTGATCCTCTGGGATTAAGCAGGTACAGTAGATGAATGGATGGTTGGAGGGATAAAACAATCCATTTTTTCTCATAGCTCACCAGTAGATTGAATAAATGCTTTTCTTTCTCTTTATTGTTCCACTGGACATAGTTTTAAAAAGATTCAGCTGTGTTTTTTCACCAGATAGACCGTAACATAAACATAATTCTGTTCTTCTCTTTGATGGAAGGCTACTTTGTCAAATGTCTTATTGTTTAAAACACCAGCAATGAACAAAGCCAGAAGCGTTGGAAAAGGGATGTTTCTGTGGTTTGTAGGAGGTGGCTGACTTGGTTTTTTGTGGGACTGCTGACCTTCTGACGGTCAGGCGGCTGTTCCTACTCATCAACTACACACAAGTAGGAGCCGTACTAAATATCCAAAGCCCTAAAGACGAGGGAAGGGATTCGTCCACTGGTAACAAAAGATCATGTCACCCAGAGATAAACTGGCTTCTGTCACTGATTCAGGTGAAGTCAGATTAAAGTTTTAAAGGGAAATTGTGTAGATAGATAGATAGATAGATAGATAGATAGATAGATAGATAGATAG